CCCTCCCCAGGGAAAGGCCGATGGCGCATAGCTGTGCCCTCCAGCTTTAGATATCACCTACTGCCCTGCTCCCCACTCCCCATGAAATGTGGCTGAATTGCACCCCAGCGCTTCAGTTGGCCTCCTTGGACAAGGGTGTCCACAGCCTCTCAGGGAGTGAGTGATGAACGGGAAGGAAGTTGCCCGAAGGCTACACATCCTTCTTCCCTGGGCCCGTTGGAGAAGGCTCTTGTCAAGTCAGAATGGGTCTTTGTCTGCTTTCTGACTGTTTTCCCTTTCATTAGGCCCTGTGAAAATGCCAACAGCAGCTCTGAAAATGGACACGTAAAAGTAAATGGCGGTGGCCAAGACAAAGAGCACACAGAGACCACATACTTCTAGCTGGTCCCGCAAGCAGCTATAATCAAAGGCAACCCAGCACTGTGCTGGCACCAAGGGTGGTCAGGGTGTCCGTTTACGGTACACCAGCTCTCTCATTCAAGCAGTCACTGCCAATTCTTTTTTATCTCTTTCTTTTTTTGCCTTCTTGTATCTCCCTCTATGGTTTACCTTTCGGCATTGCACACTGTCTCTGGTATTCACCAGTGCTCTCCTTGGAGAAAATCTGGAGCCGTTAATTTAAGGAAAAAAAAAGGTCAGAAACATGAATACAACATTATATCCTCCTCTTTCATCTCCTGTCTCCAGCAACACGAGCTGGAAACTTTGTCCAAGTAAGTCCCCTGTCACAGCATGGAATAGACTTGCAAAGAAGTGCTACACTCACAAAGCAGAAAGCCAGAGCAGACACAGCAGAGAAAATAATCTCACGCTTGCAAAAGGAGTCATTTCTCTGGTCTGTCTAGCATGACCTTCTCATGCTGTCTTAAAAACACACCTTATTTTTATTTAAAGATGTGAGATGCTCTGTCAAGAAAGAAAATTAAGTATTGGAAGAAACAACAAGCAGTGAGCAAGGATGTGTAGCAGACAGCAGGATTTTCCTTTTGGTGATAGCTGTTTTCAGTGAAGGCCTATAGCGATGCTTGGTGCAGGGAAGGTTATGCTATCAGGTTGTGGTGAAAGACCTCTGTCTGTTCCAGGAAATCAAGAGATGTTGTGGCATTTGGTCGCTTAGAGCAAAATGTAAATCTTTCTGCGAATGATCAAGTTGATCTGTTCTGTTCTGTTCTTTCCTGTCCTGTCCTGTCCTATCCTGTCCTGTCCTATCTTGCCCTTTCCTATCCTTTCCTTTCCTATCCTATCCTATCCTACATGCTGTCACTGTGTCTAAATGGTTTATGATCACTTTTGTCTTTTACTATGAAGAAAAAGTAAGTACTTTTCTTTTTACATCTCTCTCCACATGTTCTGGCCCTCAGGATGATTTTCTTTTACCATCAGCTTTGTATGGATGAAGCCCAGAAGTTATATACTGCTGGTGTTCCAGCTTGGATTGCATACAGCTCAAACACTTTTGCAGGTCATGCTGAGACGCTATTAAAGGAGACTTTTTTTTTTTCCTCTCTGTTGCCATGCATGCATGTTTTCTGTGGGTCAAAGGATCCCTTGGATACTCAGTTCAGTGAAGACAGCATTCTGGATTAAATGAGTTACATGTGACAATGCCCCATCAGGAGGGGCTGCCTATGCTGCCATCTTCTTTGAATCTCTGCTTTTTAAAGGATCTGTTAAACATTAGCTATGGTGCTCCTAACTGGTGGATCTGAGTGTGGAGGTGCTTGGTCCATTGTTGGTGGATGCTGGTGTCAGTCTGCTGCTGGTGTCAGTTGACTGGTGGCAGTCTTATCTGGGTCTTTAGGAAAGAGAAGGGACTGAGGGGAAAGGCTGGGCTGAGGAAGGAGCTTGGAGCAAAAACTGCACTGTTATTGAGTTAGCTGTGGCTTCTCCTTTTTGGAAATCTGCTCTAAGACTCGTCGATTCAGCTCACTTCATAAATAAATAAAGATGTCCAGGCCCATCTGATGTACTTCTGTTTCCATCTCATTCATGCTTCCAGTAGGCTGTAGATCTATTTCATCTGCTCTTCTCTAGACCACTCCACCTGGTTAGTTTGACGACAACAGAGTGGTGCATTTTTGGCGGAAGAGCACCTGCATAATATGACTCATGA